AACTATATCACCTGGTATATCACAAATGAGAAGTATAAAGCAAAATCACATTCCTCCCCATTTTTTTTTTCATTTGGGGGACAGGCACAGATTTAGTGATTTGGTCATTTCTAGTGAAAGTAGACATAATTGAATCTGGCTGGTTATAGTTCGATTCTATTTAGGATATGTGAGATTTTGTTACGTAATTCACATTTAAATATGTCTCTAAGGCATGGTTTGGTTGTCTGTGTTTTCTTGGGTAAGCCACAATTAGTTTTACATGTTTATAAATTGTAAGGGCTGGATTTATTGATTAGTTTTTAATTGTGTGCTATCAAGTTGGTATTAACTCTTTGCAACCATGCATGTATAACTTCTCCATGATCTGTTCCTAACTTGGTCCTTCAAGTGTTCCACTGATGCATCCATTATCACTATAACTAAGGCCATCCACATAGGTGCAAGTTGTCCTCTTCTTTCCTTTCACTCACATTATGGACTTTTCAAGTAAGCTGGGTCTTCATATGATGTATTCAAAATATGCTAACTTGAGCATGATCATTTGTGCCTCAAGTTGTGCCTCAACTCAGAATTGATTTGTTCTGTTATCCATTTGTTTGTTTTCTTGGCTGTCTATGCGTTTTCAAGAGTCTTCTCCAATACCGAAATTCAAAAGTGTCATTATTTCTTTCCTGCTTCTTCAAAGTCCAACTTTTGCTTCCATAGAGTGTTATAGGAAAAACCATTACCTGGACAAATCTTGATTTGTGTATCCTTTTCCAGGGCTTTCATTGTTATTCCATCAAGTGCTAGCCTGTGGCATAGTTTTTGAAAATTGGTTCCTCTACTATTGATAGCAAATTCTAAAAGGCAGAAGCTACCCACTGCTTCAGTGAAGCTTGGTGATTGGTTTACAGCCATTGCTGTAGTTTACTAGGCAAGAACCCCATGATTCAGTCTTCACTGTCTAAACCTGCATAAGTAGGACACATCTTTCAACATAGTGTTCCTCAAAGATATTATGTCAAGCACCCATCAGTTTAACTTCTCTAGGCATTGGATATTAGTCACTAATTAATCATAATAATAGATGAAGAGATGATACTTAGGAATTCTTGACAACAGCATTTATTAGTAATTGCTTTGGAACTTAGTAATTTCGATAACATCAGCAAGAAGTGCGGGCCCAATTGGCAAAAGAAAGTTTAGGACCGTATTAGTTGGAAACATACAGAAGAGGCCTTCATCCTGCAGTGGATAGACAATGGCTAAAATGATGATAAAGTTTGGTACATCCAATACTATTGAAGCATAAAGCAAGGATAAAGGATACAGAAAATCAGAGAGATTTTCATTTCCCTCTTATTTATAACAGTGTGTTATTCTTCTGTTGAGCCCTGACAATCCCATCTAATGCATTACAGCCAGGGAAACGAAAGAGCATAGTAGTAGTAGTAGTAGTAGTAGTAGTAGTAGTAGTAGTAATAATAATAATAATAATAAAAAGTTGGAAGGGATCTTGGAGGTCATCTAGTCCAACCCCTGTACCTCTTGTTCTTTATGTTTTCCACCTTCTTTGTAGTTTAGGAAACTGCTGTAAAATAAACATTCCCAGCTGTCAGTTTATATGCATACTGGTTATTATATAGTTCAAAGTTTCCATATTTTATGACTTTATTAATTACTATGTAATGTTCCAATGGTTATTCTATATCGATATCGCATTTACTTGCAGTAATGGCATAAGTAATAAAACAGCTACTGCAAACTGTCAACCACATAGCCTTTTTCAGCAGGACCTGCCGCGCCCGGCAGCGCGCACGCTTCTTTCAGCAACCAGGAGCCCAAAGAGAGCGAAGAATTCGCACTGAGGAAGAAATGACTCATCAAGACCACTTCCTTCCACGTTCTACCCTCCCCACGCCTAAACCGCTCCCGAAATGTCCCTCGTAGGGATCCGTAGAACGGCCGACGGAAAAGAGTCTGAAAGAGTTGGATCCGTGCGTGCACGGGGCTGTTGCGCATGCGTTCTAATCACCCGGAACTTGCGAAGCGGTAGAAGTGGCCGGCAGAAGGAGCAGGCAGAGAAGGGAGAGGCGCGCTGCTGCCCTCAATAGTTAGGTAAGGTCGTACCAGGGGTGGCTCCTTTTTGTTCCCGGCTTTCATTTCTTCACGCTGCTCGTTTCTAAGATGGTCTCCGCCCGGCGACCTTCGGGGTTAGGCAAGCAAAACAGTTCCTCGCTGTGCAGCCGAGGGTGGTAGTGGTTCTTTTCCGTCTTCCGCTTTTCCCGCCCTTTTCCTCCCTCCCTCCCTTCCTCCCTTCTTCCTTCTTCCTTCCTTTTCTCATTAAAAAAGGAATGTGTGAAAACGGAACTTCAAATATTGCTCGTTTTCCTCTGATAACGAAGCCGGGCTTTTCTCTGAATACAGGAATAAAAAGGGAGCGTGTTGAAGATTTCTACTGAAAACGAAAGAACAAAAGTTCTTTTTTTAAAAAAAAAAAATACAAGCGTATATTTTTCCTGCTTCGTTTGTTGAGTCAATCTCTTTCCTATATTAAGTGCTCACATTACCTCTACTCAGTACACAGAGTCTACTGTGTAAAGACAGCGTATCAATGGCTGAGGCTAACAGGTCCCCCCCCCCCCATAATCTAGCTCCGTTTACCAGATCAAGGGCAGAAAAAGGATGAATAGATGCTTCATAAAGAGTGACAGAAAGGTTTTCCATTCATTTTGGTATCAGACATTCACTGACGAAATGTGCTAAAATCTTTCTTAAATCTAGGCTGCTAAGAGTGGAGGATATGGTTTATTTCCTATCAGTTCAGATTATATTTCTTACATAATTTGCTGAACTATTCAAATGAATCTTTGCTTTTCTTTAATTAGGTCTCTCTGGTAAACCAAATGTCTGTTTCTACTGACTTTTGAAATTTGAGCTAGTTTACATAAATGTAGTTTAAAACATTAAGTACCTAATCATAGTTATCCCTAAGGAACTAATGAGATGGCAAGGCAATACAGTAGCCATCCAATGCATCATCCTTGTGTTTTGTAATATATTTTTTTACTGTAAGTATAACCATCTCTGTACATTTAATTTTTTATTTTTGATACTATTGTATTCTTTCTCTTGTTTTATTTATTAAATTTGTTGGTCACGATTTTCATGATATTCCAAATTCCTGATACTCCGTCTGATCTATAGAATTAAGTGAACCCTCTCTGTTGAAGCTCAAAGTTTAAAGCCCTCAACCGAGGAGATAAAAGTATGGGATATGAATTTGCAATGCAGAATTTGGTTTTCAGTCTTATGAACTACACACCTACCAGCTGTCTCCAAACTTTAAGGAGTACAAATCTGAGTCATATGTTCCATTGTTAGTGGAAGTCCTTATTTCTTACATGTTAATCTACCCTCCATATTAAGTGCCACATCATTAAGTTTAGTGCTGAATATTCCTCTCAGCTGGAAACATCCAACAAATACTATAACAGTATACTTTTTTCCTTTCAGCCGCTATAATTGTGACAACTTAACTGTCTACAGCAATAGTTTTTAAACTGACCCAATCATTTCCCCCCCTCTTAAATAATGTCATTAACTCTACAAAAAACAAACCAGACTATTTTACAGAAGTGTCTCAAAATGATCCTAGACTCCCAATCAAACAATTGCAAATTGCTCCATTATCTCCAAGATATAGCCAACTTATCCCTTTGGAGTAATTACCTCAGTTTAAAAATCATTGCTTTAAAATCAAGCTAAAGTAAAAACAAAAAACAAAAATTAGCCAAACATTGTGGTAATCTGAAAACCTCCAAACTGTTCTTCATTGTTCCTCCTGTAGGTCCAGGCAGGGGTCTTTAAAGGTTTTTCTTTGTTCTTAAATGCCAAGTCACGGTTGTTAAATTCCATTTGCCTAATTAGACTCGGCAGTGAGAGTAAAATCAGTATTCTGGGTGGGTTTGTGATTTCTATTGGGATAGCAGAGGAAGTAGAGTAAAATAAAAAGGGCAGTGGGAAGATTGCAGATTAAACATAAATTAAAACATCAAAATTGGAAAAGTAAAAGTACTCCTATTAGACAACTTCCTCAGTGCCATATTATTGGAGTTCTTAAGTGTATTTTCAGCTTTTGAAGTTGATACATATTTTCTAACCCAAAATTAAATGAAATTTAAATAAGCAGGACAGAGCAAGAATTGTCTTGGTACAATTGTGTACTTTCTTAGAGGAAAGTAACGAGATTTTTGAGGGTAACAGTTGCTATTAATTATTTCTCCAAATATTTCTTTAAAAAATCATTGAAAGCAAAATTGTTTGTCACTCTAGAGCAGAGGTCACCAACCTTTCTCAGTTGGCGGACCAAAGGAAAAGGGAGGGGGAAGCATTTTACACATGTGCGTGCGCGCATGCGCAACCGGGGCCACGAGCACACACGTGCCACAAATGGGGCGGGGCTAGCTCCCGCATGATACTAGCCCTGCCCCGTTCTGCGTCTCACAGTGCGGCGGCAGTGGCTGTTTTTGCACCTTGCAGCGTAGCGTCAGTCTGTTTTTGTGCCCTATGGCGCAGCAACATCCATATTTGTGCCCTGTGGCACAGCAGCATCCTGTTTCCACACCCCGCGGTGTGACTGCATCTGTTTTTGCGCCTTGCACCATAGCGGCAGCTTGCTTTTGTGCAGCAGGCCACGGCCCACTATCAGGCCGCGGCCCACAGGTTGGGGACCCCTGGTCTAGAGTTCTAGGACAGAAATTAAAAAACTTATTAGCTTTTTTAGAGCAAAATATTTATATAAGAGAAAAAATGGAGAAATCTTGTTGGTAATGTCTTTTTAATCCAAAGGGATGCCTCTGATGTGTTTTGCAGCAAAGTTATTTATGCATTTGAAACAGAGCTATGCTTCTCAATATATCGAGTGAATGTTAACTATTTGAAAATTCCGTACCTAGTTTTCTTGGTTTTCAAGTTACACTTTAACTTCTTACACTTTTTTCATAGATATATTTTCCATCATGGTGGGTGAAAAGAGGAATGGAAATCTTGGGCCAAAACTACAAGCTTATCCCGAGGAGCTAATCCGCCAACGTCGTGGATACGATGGACATACTGAATATCTGATTCGGTGGAGCATCCTGAGTTTAGATGACAATGTAGAAAATACCACCCATGCTGCTTCAGCTGAGAACAAAATGGATAACATTCTTATGTGGATGTCAGCAGAAGAAGTTTATGCTAATTGCCCCACACTATTGGGCAAGAGGAAGCCTGAGGGGCAGCGAGTAAAAGAGGAAAAATCACCTAGCACTTTTCCCTCTGATGTCACAGTGGATGAAGCTTCCTTGCATGAAATGAAGGTTGACGTCAGGAACCTGGTACAGCGTGCTAATCGACAGATGGCCAGGACGAGTGGTCCGGAGTCCTCCATCCTTAATACTGTCCATGTTCTCAGTGCTTATGCCAGCATTGGCTCATTGACAGGTGTCTTTAAGGAAACAGGTGCTTTAGATCTGCTGATGAAGATGTTATGTAATGAGGAGAAGCAAATCCGTCGTAGTGCTGGCAAGATGCTGAGAGCTTTGGCTTCTCATGATGCAGGTGAGGTTGCCTATTGAGGTATATGAGCTTTCTTGCAGTAATTCATTCTGTTTTTGAGTCATGTCATATTTGAGAGATACATTAAGTCTGGGGTGTCAAACTCGCAACGTCACGTGTCGCGACATATCGCGACTTTTTTTTTGCCATTGCCGGCAATGGGGTGGGCGCGGTTTCACTATGATGCAACCGGCCCGCAGGCCGGCAGTTTGACACCCCTGCATTAAGGTATATTATCCTGGAGAAAATCAAAACTTTTCCTACTTAGCATATCTTTTTACTCTGCTAATAAACAGGTTCAATAATTTTATAGCACCAAAGAAACAGTGCAGAGTCTCTGATAGTGAATTCTTTGCTGCTATCTGCTCTGTAAGCATTTGTTTTTTTGTTTTGGTGCCTTCAAGTCAGTCTTGATTCCTGGCAACTGCTTGGGCATGTTCCTACAGTTTTCTTGGCAAGATTTCAGAAGAGATTTGCCATTGCCTTCTTCCTCGGGCTGAAAGTGACTAACTGGGCCAAAATCATCCAGCAAATCCATGCTTACTCAAGATTTGAATAAAATTGTTGGAATTAATTAAAATTAATCACAAATAAGGCTTTTTGAGTCCAGTGTCTATTCTGGGCCGCTCTCAGATTGGCTCTTTTCCTATGCAATTACAGTACAAGCTTTTGGACAATAGATTATTTGTTTCTACCTTAGCAGCGATACAAAAATAATAGTTACAAATATAGTTCTTCATCTAAAGTACTGGAACTTGAAGGCAACAGTTTCTCATTGGTGGGAAAAAAATCCTTTTTCATTTTCATGAATGGCTTTTCCCCACATGTCATCATGGCTCTCTTTCAACAGTTTTATAAGTGAGTAGGGCATTTTTGCAGCCCCATTCATACAGATCAGTCATTTTTTAAAAAAAAATTGAACAAATAAATACAGCATGAAGTTAGAATAATTGTCTGGCTGCTGATTTTTGCATTCCATCTACAAATCTCAGGACATTGTGTCTTGGACATGCTATTTTAACTATTGGAGCTATTACGTTTCTCAGTTCATTTAACAAGTTAGTTTCCTCTTAGGGTATTAGCTACCTCTGATGTCATCTATGGGAAATAAGTTTGAAATTAGGAAAATAAGTTTGTAAACATGAGGCTAGTATATTTGAAACGCTGTTATAGTATTGTATTGAGTGATATTGTGATATAATTTTCAGAAGATTGCAGTGCCACTTGTCTTAGTCATCATTGCTAGCTAAAATATTGTGAAAAAGTAAGATGTCTACCCTGAATATTAATCTACCAATTTCTTGTGAATTATATGACCTGTATTTATGATACACCTTCAGTTCTCTGCTGTGTCAAATATTTTAATATACTGTATGTTAGAGCTGAATAGATTTTCAGCATGCAAGTAGATAGGTAATCTTGGAGAAATAAAATTTAGTGAAGGATCACATTAAGCATGGCTATTTTGGTTTCAGGAAGCCGAGCTTATGTTCTTTTGTCCCTGAGCCAGCAAGATGGCATTGAACAGCACATGGATTTTGACAGTCGTTATACTCTCTTGGAGCTTTTTGCTGAGACTACATCCTCTGAAGAGCACTGTATGTCCTTTGAAGGGATTCATCTCCCTCAGGTACCAGCCTTTGGGTTGGCATTGATATGGGTATTAAGATTTCTTTTTTCAAGAGATATTTGCAAAATAACAAGGCTGTATATGAATATCTCATTGAAAGAAGGATAGTCTAAAATCAAAGATAGGAAAAATCATATTCATGCGACGATGACCAGTTCTACCTATTCCTGTACCAGAAACCCTATTCGTTATCCCTCATGTCTTTGTCATTTCTCTGCTGGATTAGTGCAAATGTTTTACATGGAGCTGTTCTTGAAAAACATTTGGAAACTCCAGTTTTGGGTGGCCAGGGTTTGTCTGGGTAACATCACCATTTTAGATGAACCATTGGTTCTCAAGATGTTTCTATGTGCAATTCAAGGTGGTGATCACCTTTAAAGCACTGCATGGCACATGGCCAAGCATTTATGGGGCTGCCTTTCTCTGAGAGTCTCTGTCCATCTGATAGGTCCCCTCTTTTGAACAGTGCTACCTTGTGGCACTAAGGAATTGCACCTGCCCTATGGAACAGTATACCTCAGTTGACATGACCTGAATTTTCCCTGGGTGCCATTCTGTATGGATGTGCTTATTATGTGGTGTCTTAATTATTGTATTTTGATTTTTAATTCAAATTTTTTGTTTGATTGATTTATATAAGTTGACTTGGTAGCCAACCAAGTATTCATGGGGGGGCATATATTTCCCCCCCAAGTAAATATATAAATATATAAAAAATGTGATGGTCGCTATGCACTTACTAGAAACTGATATGTGATACATAATGAACCTGGGACTGACAATTTGATGGTATCCAGATGTTTTATAGTACAGATAATTCTTGTTTATTAATGTAATTGGGACTGTAAACTCTGTTGCTAAGCAATGCAATTATAAAATGCAATATCATTTGACTATACCAATCTGTGGCAGCAGTTGCAATAGTCCCAGTTGCTTATTAGGTGAAGAAAGGGCAGTCTCAGCATCCCACAGTCATGTGATCACCATTTGTGACCACCTGTGGGCTTCCTCATTGACTTCGCTTATTGGAAGCTAGCAGTGAAAGTTGCAAATGAAGATCACTTGACTGCGGGATGTTGTAACAATGTAATTGTGAGCTGGTTGCCACGTGCCTGAATTAAAAATCATGTGACTGGAGACTCTGCAGTGGCTGCAGCTATGAGGACCGTTGTAAGTTCTCCTCTTTTAGTGCCTTTGTAGCTTTGAATGGTCGCTGAACAAATGGGTGTTAAACAAGGACTACCTGTATAATTTCACACAGAATTTGACAATCTGTGTAGGATTGATGGAGATGATCCACAATATTTGGACATAATTCCATTATGTAATTTTTTTTCTTGAAATCCAACTGTATTGCTTACTGGGATAGAATTGTAAAACATAATTTTTTAGTTACTGGTATGATAAGCTGTATTTATTTCAGATTCCAGGGAAGCTGCTGTTTTCTCTAGTGAAGCGTTACCTGTGTGTCACTTCCCTCATGGACAAGTTAAACAGTACCACAGAACTGGGAGGGGAACATCAGGACTCTTCAGCCCCCAGTTCAACCTTCGGGGAAAAAAGCCGGGTACAACGGGAATTCGATTTCAGCATGGCCATGGCTAACCTAATTTCAGAGCTAGTCCGGGTCATGGGCTGGGATCGCAGCCAAGAAAGAGAACTTCTGTCTCTGACGAATGCCCAGCCTCGAATTATTCGATCCATCTTCCAGCCCAAGGGTTCCACTTGTACGGCTGTTCAGGTGCCTTTAGTAACTTCCAACCCTTCGCCAAGAAAAAAGCAAGGCCAACCATTTTTGACTTTGTCAGATTTTTCCAATCGCAGCAGCTATATTGAATATGTGCAGGAGAATCTTAAGCCAGGAATGACTGTGCGGATGTTGGAAGAATACGAGGAGATTGATGCTGGGGATGAGGGTGAATTTTGTCAAAGCAATAGTGGAATGCCTCCTGTGCAGGTAGGTTGAGGGGTAGAGATTTCTTTAAATTCCTCCAGTGGCTGGGTAGTTTGGTTTTGTAATACTGTTTGGTATAAAAGTTAAGTTTTTTAAAAACCTTTTTATTATTACAGGGAGCAGCCAGTTGCAATTCAACCAATGCTTGTTGTTTATAAAGCCCTCCATGGCATAGGGTCCAGGCTATTTGCAGCACTACTTGTCTCTCGTTGTCTCTTCCTGTCCAATAAGATTGAGAAGAGGAGGCATGATCAGCTCCCATCTTTAAAGCCATGTCATCTAATAGGACCTAGGACACGGGTGTCAAACTCAATCGTGCCACGTGATGTATCACAACTTTTTTTGCCTTTGTGGAGCCGGGGTGGGCCTGGCCTGCGCGTGATGCATCCGGCCTGTGGGCCGCCAGTTTGACACCCTTGACCTAGGAGATTCTTTCTCTTTTGCACTGCTTATCCCCTGGAATAGTATCTCCCTGGAGATTCAAGTTGCCCTGACTCTGCTGCTTTTTTAAAATCAGGACTTGAAGACATGACTTTTTTTCTCCAAGCTCTGATTTAGGAATGTGTCCCTAAGTGAAAACGTGTTAGAGTTGTCTGAAATCTGGGTTATTGCTATTTGTTTTATTGTATTGGGTATAATTTTTAACCTATATGTTGCCATGAGCTGGGTGACTTTTATACATACGTAAGATTGAGAAAGCTGGATCATCAAAAACTGTTAAATGAAGAAAAATGGATAGCATTAGCACTTAGACTTATATACCACTCCATAGTGCTTTACAGCACTCCTGAGTTGTTTACAAATGTCAGCATATTGCCCCCAACAATCTGGCTCTCGTTTTACCGACCTCAGAAGGATGCAAGGCTGAATCAGCCTTAAGCTGGCGAGGATTGAACTCCTGGCTGTAGGCAGAGTTAGCCTGCAATACTGCATTCTAACCACCATGCCACCAAGATTTCTTTGAAATGTACCAAAGAAAATTTTGGAATACCTTAGACTGCAAGAAAAATAAATAATTCAATATTAGATGAAGTAAAGTAAAAATGTTTATTAGAACTACTAATAATGAGGCAATTGGAAAAGAGTTTTATATCTAGATGGGTAAGTATCACCACTGAAGTAATTTACAAAAAGTCTTGACAAAATAATGTCCATTGGGGTTATGAACATTTGGAAGTAATTGAATAACAATAGGCACTGGGCACTGAACGAATTGCATTAGGATTTTTTTTTCAGTCAGGACTGCATTTAAAATGAAACAAACTTTATATAATGATGTATTGTGACAATTGTGAGCTTAATATAAGCAATGCGTCTTATCAAGAAAGGTGAATATAATGTACTTTATCCTTATTTAATGATGCTCTTATCTTTAAGAATGTTATGCAGGAAAAAATGCTCCAGACATTAGGGGTAGTAAAGAGAAACTGGTGCCAGCCTATAATTCTGTGGGCAACTCATGTGATGAGTTGGTCAGAAGAGGGAGTGATTGCTATTTGCAGAATGCCAATTTGCTAGGGAGAAACTGATTTTATACTTTCTTAGTGCCATTCTAAAAAATACAATGCTCTTATGTGACTGTACCATTATTCTATTGTATAGATCTAAAACTCAGTTTCTCGATTGCTGCTAGGAGACAATATGCCCTTACAAACAACAACAACAACAAAACAACTGCTGTGGTAGAAATAAAATAATGTGCATCCTAAACTACCTTTCCTAAAGTTGGTGCCCTCAAAATGTGTGAAAGTTGCAATACTATTTTAATTTTATTTGTAGGTATCACACCTTTATGATTATTACAAATACTGTAACTCAAGGTGACAAACATACCCAACACACTTTCCTCCTCCTATTTTCCCCCACAACAACAACCCTGTGAGGTAGGTTGGGTTGGGCGAGAGTGACTGATCCAAAGTCACCCACCTGGCTTTCATGGGTAAGGCGGGACTAACTCACGTTCTCCTGCTTTCTAGCCTGGTGCCTTAACTACCAGACCAAACTATACTGCTTGCTTACTTCTAAAAAGTGATTTAGTTTATTTTGATCATTAACATAAATGAAATTATAGGTACTTCTGTCCCCTACAAGCTGGGCAGTGTTTGTTTTTCTTTATTTCAGAACTTCTACTTCTGACATGGAGAATTTGATTAAAGATGGCTTTAATTATGCAGTTCATTGTTTTACAGGTTTCATGGCAGTCAGCTGGCCAGACTTATTGGGTGCACTGGCACATGATAGAAATTATTGGCTCTGGGGAGCAAAATGAAGAGGATGCTGCACAAGAAAAAGTATCTAGTTTAACAGAGAACCTGAAACTACCCACAGGTGAGATTAGAGGTACATAAACACAATTATGTGTAATTTCAGTTTGAATTGTTGCATGTTATGAATTCATTGTTGTTGCTTCCTTTACTTCTTTTAACACATTTTAGATGTGTTTACAGAGAGAAAAAAGTTTACTTGGCTAATATTACATTTTAGGTTAGATTATATTTTATGCTATTAGGATTAAAATCTAAGAAGAGAATACTTATTATGAAGTATTATAAAATACATATCTTAGTTCTGCAGCCTTATCCATTGCCATCTGAAGAAATGAAATATGGTCAGATGCTGAAAGTTGAAAAGTAGCAGCTATTTTGTGCTTGGCATTTTTCAATATATTATTTTCTCTGAATTGCATTAGAGATGGATTTTATTTTATTGTACTTTACTTTAATTATTTTATTATTTCATATTTCATTTTTATCCTGCCTTTACTCTTTTAACAAATAACTCAAGGTGGTGAATTTATTTATTTATTTAAAATATGTTTTATTAATTTTTTAACATAATCACCTTAATATTCGGTAAACAGTGTGTTGTCTGGGTTTACATTTAAGAAACATTCACTAACAGTTGGTTTCTATAATCTGTAATCCACATAATAACTTTACTTGATTTCCTCTTTTTCCCATAATGTTCTCTTTTACCAACCTTAAGTTAATACAATTCTTGTTGTTTTAATGAATGGTGATTGAGTATAAAAGTTTTCTAATATTTCTACAGATAATCACATCAATATAATATTCCTTTTCTATCTAGTCATTGTGGTTGTCTCATCATAGATCCTGTTTACAGTTCTTGTTTACATTGTTTTTCCCACAATGTTCAAAACATTCTTACTGGTTAAGATTTTCTCAAAGTTTATTACATTTAAATATTTAAGTCTATTTTTTCTCATGTAAGCCAACCCAATACTTTTACCTTTCTTAAGGAATAAATAAGACTAAAAAAAGAAAAAAGAAGAATAAGAATAATAAAAAAGATAGTATGCTACTTAAAATCCCTATTTCCTATAAGCTAATACATATTTATTTCCAATTTTTTTCATTCTTTTTTACCATAATTAAAAATATATTTAATCTTTAAATATTCCATTTAATAAATCTAGTCCTCTAGTCTTTTAACTCTTATTCAAAACATTTTTTAATCCATTGTAATTTTCTTAAAGTCAATCACCTTTAGATATCTAAAACATTTCCTTTATTATAAGCTATTCCAACTGTTTTATATTACTCATATCAAGAAATAAAATAAAAAAGAAGAAAAAGAAAGTACTATGTTACTTGAGGGGCTCTTCCCTTTTAAAGTCAAATTCACATCCAAAATTTTTCTATTTCTTTAACCATATTCGAACAGGTGTTTCTTCTAAAAATATTCTCTCTGATAGGCCCCATCGTCTATTTTTTTAATTTTCACTTTAGCCTTTTTTTTGGCCCAGTATCTTTCTTAATCAATATGTTCTGAGTCAAAGAATCTTTCCATATTCTTGTAGGTGTTACTGTAGATATAAAAGGTAAGTCAAGTATAATATCTTTGTGAGAGGCATTTGCCCATTCATTTTTGTTGAAAATCTTTTTCTTTCTTTTTCTCTCTGCTTCTCTTACCATTTTTGTCTCTCCAGTTCTAGTGCTTTTCTTGGCATCTCTGCAGTCCATTTTGTTCTATCTTTTTTCTTATCCTCATATTTGTTTTGTGGTGTTATAGTATAAGTTGTCTTTTCCAAATCCAGTATTTCTTGTAAATTTTTTTCCACTTGAGTTAAATCATACTTCTTTCTTTTGTTAGGTTCCATCTTTAAGTCTCTATCCTCAAATTTGTATTCAGTTGTCTGTTTTATCTGTTCCTTCTCTGTTGTTGTTTCCTGGGAATTTTTTTGTTGTAAAGTTAAATTGGAGATGAATTGGTTTATATTTTCAAACTTATTTTGGATTTCTTTGTGGTTTGAAGTCATTGTTATTTGAATTAGTTGCAACATATCATGTCTCCTCTTGAAAAGTATTTATTTTTTCTTGATAGGTTCTTTCTATAAATTTCTGATTTTCCATGATGATCAAGAATCCAAATTTTCTTTTCTCTGCAAATAGCTTTGGGGTCAGAGTTAAATAGATATTTGTAATCCAGAAAGTTCAAAAAAGTTTTTTTTGTTCCCTGAAGTTTTGTCTGCAGCCCAGATTGTTTTCTTTTTTGTCACAGCTGTTCTCTATTGTTAGAGCTTTGAAGGTCACAAGTAGAGATTAGTTTTTTCCAGATTTTGCCAAGTCCTGCATGAAAGCCATAGCTGTTGTAGTCTTCATCCCCCGCTAGATGTCAGCACTGGTTTATTTTTCAAATTTTCAAAATGAACACATTTCCTTTAAAATGAGAATCTTAACCATTCAGTAACTTCAAACTTATCCAAATTTAGGTTTTATAGTAATTTCATTTCATTTCAATACGGTTTGGTCTTTCATAAAAGGTTTAATTTGCCACTTCCGTTAGTAAAAGGGTAGGGCAAAAATCCCCCTCCTTCACTTTCGGAGGTTTTTTGCTTCTTGGGATTTTTTTTCCTTCAGAAAAGTTGATAAGTAGGATAGAGAAAATCGATGTTCTTACCCAGATTCAAATGCGCTGTTTACAATCAGGTTAAAATAGTGCTTTTGACTTTGGTTGCTTACAGCTTGGGCTAGACTCTGAAGTTAGGCTAGCCTTTTTCTTGTTGGTTTCTGGAAGGCTTCTCCAGGACCGATCGGGTTGACCACCATCTCTCCGAGGTCCCCGGGACTTCTTTCCTTCTTTGCCGCCTCTTCGGGGTGGCTTCTGGCCCATTTAGGGTCCCCTAACAGGAAGAAACTCAGCTGAAGGGCACATAGCCCCGAATCCCTTGGCTGCTGTGCAGGACCAGAAGTCCTATTTATTTATTTATTTATTTATTCATTCATTCATTCATTCATTCATTCATTCATTCATTCATTGGTCGCCCATCTTCCCTGTAAGGTGATCTAAGCACACCTTCCTTCTATTTTCCTCACAATAGCAACCCTGTGACTGAGAGGGCTGAAAGATAGTGTAGAATGAGTGCATATTTAGTTCAAAAATTCATATTCTTCTGCAACTGAATAATTATTTGCTTACAGGAAACTGTAGCCCTATGGCAGGGGTCTGCAACCTTAAACACCCAAAGAGCCACTTGGACCCGTTTCCCAGAGAAAAGAAAACACTGGGAGCCACAAAACGTGCGCGCAAGGGGAAAGGAGAGCTTGATTGAAGAGTTTAATTAAAAAGAAATAGAGGCTGCTGTGCATGCTCTCTCTCTCTCTCTCTCTCTCTCTCTCTCTCTCTCTCTCTCTCTCTCTCTCTCTCTCTCTCTCTCTCTCTCTCATCTCTCTCTTTCCTCTCTCTCTCTCTCTTTCTTTCCTTTCTTCCCCCCTCTCTCTCTTTCTTCTCCCTTTCTCTCTCTCTCCTCTCTCTCTTTCTCTTTCCTCTCTCTTTCTCTCTTTCTTTCCTCTCTCTCTTTCCCCTCTCTCACTCTCTCTCTTCTCCCTCTCTCTCTCTTCTCCCTTTCTCTCTCTCTCTCTCTCCCCCTCTCCCTCTTCGATCTTCTGCTCACCTGGCAAGCTGGCTTCAAGCTGTTCCCCAACAAGCTGACACACATTCTTATTGGGCTGGCTCTCTCCTGCCCTTCCTGCTTCCTGCAGAGACGCAGCAAAGGGAGGAGCCCCACCCAATAAGCTTGTCAGCTCGTCGGAGAATAGGGTGAGGCCACTCTCTTTTATACATACACACACACAACACACACACACACACACACACACACAGAGAGAGAGAGAGAGAGAGAGAGAGAGAAACGCAAGTGCCTCTCTGTCTCTCTCTCTCTCTCTCTGTGCAAATGGCAGAGGAGGCTGGGAGCTGCAGGTTACCAACCCATGCCCAATGGCAAGACAGGCACTAAATAAATGTAACAAATAAATATCAGGATTGAGCATATTCTTTTCTGTAGAATTCTAGAGTGCCTACAAATGAGAAGTTCCTGAGGAAGAATCTTGCTAACAAATTAGTTGGAAATCTTCATTCTTTCTTCCCTGATATATCTTATGCTCCCTCCAAATTTGCTCTGATGAGTTGGACGACCATCTTGAGTGATGGAAATGTTGGTACTGGGGATTGGAAAGGAGAAGGGGAAATAGCAGATATCACCCCTCCTCTTTGTAGGGATGGAAACTATTCTGAATCTTAACTTGTTTTCTTAAGCTATATGCAAGTGACAGTCAAGTTTCTGAATTCAAAAATTTGTTTTTGCTTTCTTTCTCTCTGCAGCTACTCAGACATTTTACTGCAAACCTCTTGGAGGACTTTACTGCCTGCCATACTTAGTGGATCAACTAAATGAGAATTCTGGAATGTTGAGCCGGGCTGAATGGTGGGAACTACTTTTTTTCATTAAAAAGCTGGAGCAGCATGAACAACAGGAAATAATTCGGTTCATCCAGGAGAATCATGAGGAACAGGTAAATAGAACAAATTTAACTTGGGAGGAAGAGAACAGAGGATGAAACAGGCATCTGGTTAGGAAAAACTGAGCTGTAGTGGTGCAGTGGTTAGAATGCAGTATTGCCAGCTAATTCACTGCTCACTCCAGGAATTCAATTCTCCCGGCTCAAGGTTGACTCAGTCTTTCCATCCTTCCGAGGTCGGTAAAAGGAGGACCCAGATTGTTGGGGGCAATATGCTGACTCTATAAACCACTTAGAGAGGGCTATAAAGCATTGTGAAGCAGTATATAAGTCTAAGTGCTATTGCTATCTGATTAGGAAAAATTCAATGGCACCTCCAACAATTCCTGTTTCTTCCAGAATTAAGACATGTGAACTGACAGCCAGGAAGAGCAGCTCCTGTGTTCTTTTCCTAATAAAGACATAAACAACAGTGACTTGTTTGTCCCTCCTATCCATATCATTTAGAATTGTACTGTTGAAAGTTAGAATCAGAATAGCCAAATTCCCATGGTATGATTTTGCAAATTAATCAGAATGCACTGTTTTACAAGGGAGGGGGGGGCTAAGTGTAAGAATGGTAATCCCTTACTTTCTTATCACTACCATGTCCTGCCACAACCATTCTAATTAATGAACGTTAAAAAACAGTCTGAAAAGATTTTTCCATATTCTTTCCAGTGATTCTTATATATTGGATCTCATGATTCCACATAGGGTCAAGAAGCTTAAATACAGCCTCCAACTGCTCAAAATGTGTCCTTTCCTGCCCTAGTATATGGATGGTCCATTGGATAAGCAGGCTCTTTTATCCTCTTACAGCTGTGATTGGATTTGAGAAGCACTATGTATATAGATTTCTGATTACTGAATTGTCTTTTGCATTTTAAGCTGTCGGAACTAGATGAAGAGGGCCTGATTCAGCTGTCAATATCAGTAGAATTGGCTCGGAAACTTTTGCCACTCTTGAGCAAGTACTGTCAAGGCTGCACCCAAAATGACCTCCAGAATTCCCACATCTATGTCAAATATACCCTCAACAAGGGAAGTACAGAGCAAGGTTGCCAAAGTGTGGACATGACTTCTGCAAAAGATAGTGGCTTCTCTGAAGCCATGGCTTCCCAAAAACCAAAGGAGTCACTTTCTGCTGAAATGTCTTCTCCAGTGCTGTCCACAACAGAGAAGACTGACACACAGTTGATTAATAAACTTCTTCACGTAGAAGGACTTTTCTTTCCAGACTTACCAGATGAAAAAGCCAAAGGTAAATGCCCCCAAAATATGTATTTAAGCTCATTTAAGTCAAATAATTGCAGGAAAGGGGGGGTGCAGTTGAAAAAAAATCAGAAACTAGTTTGGTGCATCTATAGCTGTTGTGGAAAATAAAGAATAAAAGTATAACAAAAATTTCATAATTGGGTAGTTGCCAAGAGACTATTTTACTGATCTGTCCTTTGTTATTGATCAGCTTTCTTCAGTGGGAAGGTGTCTGGAAAGAGGAACTCCTTGGAGAAGCTTGCAGATATTGTAGATATAATACAGAAATCTAGTTCTGAGGTTGCACTTCAGGTGGCTGGAATCAGATTCATAATCAAGATCTTGGAAGATGAACCTGGTCAAGAAAGACAAATTATTAAAGTAGAAAGTGGACCCTCAATCAGGTCAGTAGGCCTGTATTTCATTATAAACTGTCTTTAGTTGAATTATCTATAGTTCCATGGTATTAAGTTTGCTTTCTTTTAACACAGTCATTCTACTTCCGTTTGAAGATCTTTGTAGTTTGTGATTTTCTCCAGTTCTTTTTCTTCTATTCTGTTGTTTCCAGGTACATCCATTTCTGCTATCCAGATCTTTTTGTCTTTTTTATCGACAGTTGTTAAGTCTGGGGTGCTATGTGGTAGATGTTTGTCTACGTGAATTCTAGGGTCCCACAGAACTAGCGTCTTCATTTTCTATTATGTTATCCATTTTGTGGTCTCAGCAGTTCTTGCTTGCAGGCAAATGATATTTCTTGCAGATCTTTCAATGCACAATTGTTGCTACATTGTCATATTGTTGATTGTAATTAGTTTGTGCGATCTTCTAGCAGAAGATAACTAGGTGGTCCACTGTTTCTTCAGTTTCTTTGCATAGGCAGCATTTGCTGCCTGTTGCTATCTTCTCAATTCTGGTTTTGTATACATTATTATTGTGGTTGGTTGCACAGTCAGCCAAGTGTTTAGACTGGATTTGGCATTTATTAGTGTTACTATTATTACTGTTAAATGGTGTTCTGTGCTGTTGGCTTGATCACCTCTGCGCTGGATCCAGGTCCCACCCGGATCATGAAAATGGGAAGGACTGCAGTTGCAGAGAATCCCAGAGGAAACAAATAATTTAGACTCGTTTCAGTTTGATTTCAGGCTGGGATTTAGTGTAGAGACATCCTAGTTGCACTTGTAGTTGTTCTGTGGCAGAGCTAGAATGGAAGAGGTGCATCTATTCTTTGTGCTTCTTGATCTTTCAGTAAATGAAAATGTGTTGATCATGGTATCCTTTTGAATTAACTGCAGGGTTGGTTTCCTTCCTTCCTTCCTTCCTTCCTTCCTTCCTTCCTTCCTTCCTTCCTTCCTTCCTTCCTTCCTTCCTTCCTTCCTTCCTTCCTTCCTTCCTGCCTGCCTGCCTGCCTGCCTGCCTGCCTCCCTCCCTCCCTCCCTCCCTCCCTCCCTCCAATATGGGAGAGGGGTGTCTTTTTTTAACTCTCCCATCTGTAAGTGCTACACTGCTCAACTTTCTATCCTTTTGTCTCTAATCCCTTAAACATTTACATGGAATTAGTGGATGAAGTCATCCACTAGTTTGGTGTTTAGTACTGATGATACCCAATTATATTTTTTGACCCCAGGCCAGTCAAGTGATGCTGTCAAAGTCCTGTCCCAGTGCCTGGAGGCTGTTCAAGCTTAAATGGGAAGGATCTTCTTTGAACAAGACTGAATGGCTGTATGTTTTGGGACAACTTGCTTCTGGAGATATATATCACCTTTGGATAGGGTTGCTTTTTCCCATTCAAGTGTGTTGCCTTGAAGTTTCCTTGGTTTCACATTCCTATCTGTTTTAACAAGCGTGTGCATTGATATTGTATATACACTCCTTGACAGTTGTATATATAGTTATATATTTCTGTCTCTTTGACAAAAATATATCTTTGTAGTATTCTGAATTTGCAGTGGCCTTCTCTCTATTGAGCTCCACTTCAGCTTTTCAGGTTTTTATTTGGTCCTCTAGCAACCATTTTATTTTCCTTAGGAAAAACTAGAGGGAGCACCTGGGACTTTATTTGCTCAGCCACTTATAAAGATACAGCTATAGATTAAAATGCTTCTTTGTGCTCCTCAGAGAGAAGATCGTGAAGATGCTGGTGGAGCTGCTCAGCAACCAGCTGAAGGAGAAACTACTGATGGTGACTGCATTACGACTGCTGTACATGTTAATGGCAAAGTACGATTGGCGAATCCTTTTTGCCACGGAAGGCGGCGTGCGTGCTGTGCTGGGCTGCATGCAGGAGTATTCCACTTCGGCATTGGTACAGCTGGCTGGCTTGGCAGTAAGTTGTATATACAAATGACAGAAATTGATGTTAGAAATTTGATGTATTGATTGATGTCTTTGTTTTAGAAGAATTTTATAGGTTCTGCACAGTTAACTCTTAATGGAAATAAAGTATATATTAAGTAATTAGTAATAGTTAATACATTAAAGTACGAGAGCAAATAAATATGCTCAGAAATTAGATCTATGCAAGAATGTTTCTCAGAAAAATTCTTAATGTTTATCATGTTTTTATATAATTATCATGTTCTGTATTAATAACGTGATAATATGTTTTAATCCCACATAAATGTAACTCTCAACGTGAAATTCAGTTGTTTGAATTGGCTTTCAGTCTAATGGATGGCTCTCCCAGTAAGTGATCACTGGGGCACAGAAGTGAGTCAAACTTCTTCTTCAGTGTGAGGAGAAAACACCTGGAAGCAGCATAGGAGTAAATTAACTTCAGACTTTCCAAGGACCTAAAAATAACAAGCAAAACCAATACTTCACTATTAAAAGGAAGCCTATGGATAACCAGAAATGGACATATTTGGGGAATTCTTTCCAAAATAGCAGAGACATAAACTTTAAATATAAGAAAATGAAAGAAGTCAATATGCTTGAATAGTGAGGAGCTATTGTTTTTATAAGGTTGAAAAAGAATTCTTTTTTATAATAATTTTATTAACGATTACCTTGTACAGATAAAATTAATGCAAAGTATAATTTTTTTTAAAAGTATGAAGAGAAAAGAGAAAGAAAGAAGTAACTTCCTTCTTTGTCTCAGCAAATATAAACAACTTTAGCAACTTGTCACTATCTCTTAAAATACAACAATCTCGTCCATCCCATAACTCACGTCATTCTCTTAAACAAATCTTTAAAACCTCATTATCTATCTTAATCAGCAAAAGTCCATTAGGAGTTACCAGAAATACCAATCTAACCATTCTATCCTTGTGTGTCCATTGTTAACAAATATCTCCCACTGATACAAGATTTTGCTCCATTCTGCATTATCAGATTGATACCAATAAAAGAGAGTATTTGTAGCTCAGGGTTGAAATGAGGGGTCCTTGGTGCTCTCTGAACTTGGTTGTTTTCTTGTTGCCTAGTTGTTACCTAGTTTGAGTAATGAAATGTCTGCAAGAAAACAACCAAACTCAGAGAGCACCAAGGATCCCTTATTACCAGACTGAGTTTAAGAATTCTTCCCCTTTAATTATAATATTTATTTCCTTCTGGTGCTCTCTAATAATAATAATAATAATAAAGTTGGAAGGGACCTTGGAGGTCATCTAGTCCAACCCCCTGCTCAGGCAGGAAACCCTATACCATTTCAGACAAATGGCTGTCCAGTCTCTTCTTAAAAATTTCCAGTGTTGGAGCATTCACAGCTTCTGGAGGCAGGTTGTTCCACTGGTTAATTGTTCTCACTGTCAGGAAGTTTCTCCTTAGTTCTAGGTTGCTTCTAAATCCCACCTTATCATGTTTTTGTTCTGGATGTAAAAACATGGATAGTTTTCCATGGGAATGATTATTATATTTAATTTCCAAAGATTATTAAATTCAACTGCTGCCCATAGCAACTTTTAGTGAGATGGGCAGATTCATGAATGAATGAATGAATGAATCTGGATCCTTAGTCCATTTATAACTTTCTAAAGGCAGCATTCTGATCTCCCTTTTAGTATTAATTCTGAAGAAATTAAGTCATTAAGCTCATATTTAAAACTTCTTTTCTGAAAGATTGAAGGAAATTGACTCTGTGATAAAGAAATGAGGATCAGCTGAACCTTCTGTTCTTAAAGGCTACATTATTAGCTTTGATGGAATCCCTGATTTCTTGCCATTCAACTCACAAGCACAACAGTTAGTTCCTGCCACCTACCGATGAGGAGCTACTGTCCAGAATATGTCTGGGTGATCTCACAATCTTTCCTTTATCCTGAGAGATTTCATGGTCCCAGATTCAACATCTAGCCAGCAATTTTAGCTATAATAATAATAATAATAATAATAATAATAATTATTATTATTATTATTATTATTATTATTATTATTATTATTATTATTATTATTATTATTATTATTATTATTATTATTGATGGTGATGATGATGATGATGATGATGATGATGATGATGATGATGATGTTGGAAGGGACCTTGGAGGTCATCTAGTCCAACCCCCTGCTCAGGCAGGAAACCCTATACCATTTCGGACAAATGGCTGTCCAGTCTCTTCTTAAAAACCTCCAGTGTTGGAGCATTCACCGCTTCTGGAGGCAGGTTGTTCCACTGGTTAATTGTTCTAACTGTCAGGAAGTTTCTCCTTAGTTCTAGGTTGCTTCT